CTTGACTTTGAAGGGAGGAATTTCATGAAACTTTTCATAATCTTCAGACATGTCTGTCTTGCCCTCCACTCCCACGATGTCCCTTTTTCCTGAAAGAACTACGTGGCACTTTGGCTCATCGTATGATGTATTCGCTTCCTTATATTTTCTTTTTCTCGGTTTGGTGGACATGTCCTTCACATAGATAACCCGTGCCACATCATTGGCAAGGACGAACGGTTCGTCAGTGTACCCAAGATTGTTCAGATCCACTGTTGTCATTCCATACTGTGGGTCTACCTGTACCCCGCCTCATGACAGATTGACCCATTTGCACTTAAACAAAGGGACCTTAAAATCTTGTCCGTAGTAAGTTCCCATATGTCCACTATGTAACCATAATATGTGTCCTTTTCCCTCTCGTTTCCTGCATCAAAGCGGACACCGCTGTTTTGGTTGGTGCTCTTTTGATCTTGGGCGATCGTGTAAAATGTATTCCCATTTATCTCGCATCCTTTGTAAGTCAATACAGTCGAAGATGGTCCCCTGGACAACGAGTACATCTCATCGCAAACAGTATTGTAACCTCTGAGACGTGTTTCCAACCAACTTCTGAAAGTCCTGATGTGCTCACTTGTAATCCAGTTGTCGCACTGCTCCGGGTGTTTGGAGCGCAGACTGTTCTTGTGTTCATCGACATACGGGGTCACCAAGGTAGAGTTTTGTAGAACTCTGTAGTGCGCTTGAGACCAAGAATATCCGTCCCTGCATATTATTGAGTCCCCTCCAAGCGTGCCTTTTCCAGTCAGTCTCCCCTCATACCGCGATTTAGGGAGACCTATCTTCTTAAGGCCAGGAATGAAGTGAACTCAAAACTGAATGACATCCTCTGTTTGACGGCCCACACAAAGGTTCTTCGTCACGTGCATCACGTCGATCGAAGAGCGGACCTCTAGGTCTTTCCAGTAGGGTAGGTACCAAAATATAGACTTTTTCTTTCACATGGGTGCATGTCCCACAGCGTCACTCGGAACAGATAGTCCGCCGGGACCCTTTCCGAAGATTACGTGTAAATCATTGACCATAGCAAGGACGTGATCACCGGTACACATGGCGGGCTTCTTTCGTTGATCTACCTCGCCTTTGAAATGCTTGCCTTTCTTTCGACATTGATGGTTGGTCGAAAGAAATCGACGATGGCCCAGGTACACATTCTTCCTGCATTTGTCCAGGTATATACTTTTGGTGTCAGCTAAACAGTGCGTGCATGCGTGGTATCCCTTGTTTGTCTGTCCTGAAAGGTTACTAAGAGCGGGTCAATCATTGATGGTTACAAGCAGCAACGCGTGCAGGTTAAATGCCTCCTGTTTGTGCCCATCCCACAAACGTACACCGTTTCCATTCTAGAGCTGTAAAAGTTTTTCAACTAATGGCCTTAGGTACACATCAATGTCGTTGCCGGGTTGCTTAGGGCCTTGGATGAGAACTGGCATCATAATGAACTTCCGCTTCATACACATCCAAGGAGGAAGGTTATACATACATAGAGTCATGGGCCAGGTGCTGTGATTGCTGCTCTGCTCCCCGAAAGGATTAATACCATCTGCGCTTAAACCAAACCATACATTCCTTGGGTCATGTGCAAACTCAGCCCAGTACTCTCTCTCGATTTTTCTCCACTGCGACCCGTCAGCGGGTGCTCTCAACTTCCCGTCTTTCTTACGGTCCTCACTGTGCCATCGTATCAACTTGGCATGCTCTTTGTTTTTGAACAGTCGTTTCAACCGTGGTATTATAGGAGCATACCACATCACCTTCGCAGGAACCCTCTTCCTGTGGGGCTTGCCGTCAACATCACCAGGGTCATCTCATCTGATCTTATATCGCAATGCACCGCATACCCGGCATGCGTTCAAATCCTCGCACGCACCGCGGTAGAGGATGAAGTCATTAGGGCATGCATGTATCTTCTCCACCTCCAATCCTAGAGGGCATACGACCTTCTTTGCTGCGTACGTACTCTCGGACAATTCGTTATCCTTTGGAAGCTTCTTCTTCAATATTTTCAGTAGCTTCTCAAATCCTTTTTCAGGCACAACATTTTCTGCCTTCCACTGCAACAATTCCAGTATGGTACCCAGCTTTGTGTTGCCATCTTCGCAATTGGGGTACAACCCTTTTTTGTGATCCTGTAACATGCGATCGAACTTCAGCTTCTCCTTTTGACTTTCGCATTGCGTCCTTGCATCGACAATGACCCGGCGGAGATCATCATCATCGGGCACATCGTCTGGCTCCTCTTGATCTTCAGCAGCTTCCACCGTTGCAACATCATTGGGCACACCGTATGGTTCCTCTTGATCTTCAGCAGCTCCCCCCGTTGCAACATCACCGTATTCAGGGGGCACATAGTTGTCATCGTCCTCTTCTTCTTCACCGTCTTCCATCATAACCCCTATTTCTCTGTGCCTCATCCAAACATTATAGTGTGGCATGAAATCCTTATAAAGCAGGTGGGTGTGAAGGATTTTTTGGTCAGAGTAAGACTTGGTATTCCCAGATTTAGGGCATGGACAACACATAAAACCATTCTGCTTGCTTGCTTCAGCCACTTTGAAAAAATTATGCATGCCCTTAATGTACTCGGAGGTGTGTCTGTCACTGTACATCCATTGCCGGTTTACGTGCGCACATTATATATATACTTATGTGTGTCAAAAGTAAGAAAATCAGACAAGTATCTATCTAAAGTAAGAAAATCAGACAAGTATCTATCTAAAGTAAGAAAATCAGAAAGAAGATAAGAACAAAAGGCTCACCGCGGTGGTGCCGGTGACGAGATCGGCGCGGGCGATCGACGGCGGTGAAAACGGGGACGGGGCGTGACGAACCGCTAAATCTAGATAAATCTCGGGAAAAATGGAGCTCCGAGGTCGAGCTTCAAGAGGAGAAAGCTTAACTACTGCGGCTCAGGCATATCATCAAACACCTCATGTGCAAAGGAGCTGAGCTAGAGCACCCAAATGCCCTTCCTTCGCCAGCCAGAAAAAACAGAGCATTGTGGAGTGATCTGCCGCGGCGATGGGTATATATAGGCAACTTATTTGTCCCGGTTTGTGACAGGAACCGGGACTAAAGACCCCCTTCTGTACCGGTTCTAGGCACGAACCGGTACCAATGGCTGTGGGCCAGGAGCGCGGCCCATTGATCCCGGTTCGTGCCTAGAACCGGGACAAATGGATCCAGACGAACCGTGACCAATGCTCACGAGGCCTCGGCCGGCCCACTGGGCTCATGAACCGGGTCTAATGCCCCCATGGGTCTCGGTTCGTGAAGAACCGGGACTAACCAAAGCCCTGTTTTCTACTAGTGCCCCAGCTAGCATGCAGCTAATAACAAACCGATGCATGCACTAACTAACTCGCCCAATTCTCTTGGTTATCCAGCCGGCCGTCTCTAGCTTCTTGTGCGCTTCGCCGCATCGCACACGGTATCACACGGCACCAGCATCACGCCTACCACACCGCATCTCACGGTCACCGGGCAACTCGCTTCCTTGCACGCTACAGCTGAGACTTCGCCGGAGTACAACTCGCTAAGCTAAGCTACATAATAACACATGCAGGTACATCAATCAAGATTAAACCTAACAAAGCCCCTCCTACCTTTGCATGTATGAATTTCTTTTATGTAGAAGTCAAATCTCGAAGCCAGTTTTGCACGTGGAGGCTGACGCTTAAATTCTTAATTTTGGTCATGTTAGCACAAATGACTGGCCCCGCCAACACTCGAGAAATGGAAGACATGTAGATTCTAAGTAAAGGCAGTGCAATAACAATCGCCTCTTCCAATTTGCTGGAAAATTATCTACTCCTTTTTCTCACAAAACAATACTCCCTCTGTTCCTAAATATAAGTTTTTTTAGACATTTTAAATGGATTATAACATACGAATGTATGTAGACATGTTTTAGAGTGTAGATTCACTCTTTTTGCTCTGTATGTAGTCATTTGTTGGAATTTCTAAAAAGACTTATATTTAGGAACGGAGGGAGTATATTCCATTGTTAAGATTTTTTTTCTCTCTATTTAAGTACATGTAGCCTTGGGTTCCATTTTCATGGAAATGAACCCATAGCAAAGCGACTAGCTAAGGAATGGCCTGCGTCTGCTATCTCTGGCTCGACCACCTGCCGGTGTCGAAGTCTCACCCCCTAGCCAGTCTTACCGCTTGGTGGCTCTAGAAGCTTCAGAATGCCCTGCGTCTTCAATGGGGAATGCCCCTCAGTCGCGCGCCTTGCGCAGGCCATCCAGGAGGAAGCTTGCTTGTGGGCACGTGACGGTGCCAAAGGTTTACATTTGATCCTTCCCGAGAAGTAGCCCCATGTAGTTAAGGGGGGCCGCTCCGCCCTAGCTCACTGCACGCTTCGGCAACTCACTCACGCCGTCTCCGTGTACGTTCTTATGTTTTGCCATCTGTGCCTCGTACTTTCTGTCCTTCAATCATCTAATATCAGTGAAAAGATACGCCACATGCTAAGCATACTGAGGGGAGTTTGGGGAGTCCATGGCTGGACGCGCATCCACACTGTCCCTACGGCATCCGAAGAAACATCGGGCCAACTCGATCGGCACAGGCGAAACCAGTTGTGCAGACAGGCTAACGGTTTAATATGTATGCTCGCGCTCCATGCATGCAAAAAAGAAAGGATCCTACTATCAGATCTTGTCTGAAAATAATACCAGTATAATAACTAGATTGATCTATCACATCAGATCTCGTGTACAAATAAAGATAAAAAACACTAGGTTTGTAAGCTGGGAGTGTGGATGTAGCCGTTCGAAACACACAATGTCAACTGATTCAGCTGCGCCCGATCGGATCGAACAATTAATTAATGACATGGAAACCTTTCTTCCTCCTTTATAAAGAGCACAAAAGGCAGTCCATTTCGGTCACCAGTCAGCTGTTCAATTAGAGTACATTCCAGCTAGTACGTACCAGAAGCTAGCTAGCTAGCAATGGCGAAGAAGCAGTTGGAGGTGTGGATCCTCATGCTCGCTCTGGGCGCGCTGGCCTGCTTCGACGAGGCCCAGCTGATCGATTGCCCCAAGGAGTGCGGCAGGGGTGCCGACGTTATGGAGTGCCCCAATAACCTCTGCTGCAACGAGGACGGGCGCTGCGGCATCGGCAACAAATACTGCGACACCGGTTGTCAAAACGGTGCCTGTTACAATAGCTTGCGCTGCGACAGCAACGGTGAGTGCCCTAACAACTTCTGCTGCAGTGACTCTGGACTCTGCGGCCTCGGCATTGAGTACTGTGGTGGCGAGTGCAAGAGTGGCCCCTGCAGAACCGGCGACAAGCCATGTGTGCAGGCCCCTGATGGTTCCTTCTCTTGTCCTAACAAGTACTGCTGCAGCGGTGAGGGTTTCTGTGGCCTCGGCAACGCCTACTGTGGTGTCGGTTGCAAGGGCGGCCCATGCATCAGCCCATCCATGTTCAACCCAGTCACCTGCTTATTCTAGTCTCCACTCCCATGAATGATTTTTGTTGTAAAGCTTGTTTGTTGCGCGGCAGAATAGCTAGCCAATTTATTGCAACAGGAAAAGTAACTCTGCAATAAATGGTTGGAAATATTGCAACAACGGGCAATGCTCGAATAATGTTTACGTGGCTAGCACATATGTGGCCGCAGTAGTGCCAGCCCCACTTGCTTAGGTTTCCCTTGTCATGGCTACCAGTTATTCACATGATGTGCATGCAGCATGTACCGATCTATGAATAAATTGAAATTCGTTATGGTGATAAGTCCTTATTTGAAGTTTTCTTGTGTGTTAGTCAACTTTCTAAGTTTTGGATCTCGATCAACTTTGTAAGCTTTGGATTCTCTACCCTACTATTCTTTGTTTTACTTTTTGTGCGGAGAAAACATTGGATCTATTCGTCAACTATCAAGGTAGTACAAAGAACACAAAAAGTAACAATACATCCATGCCCGTAGACCACCTAACGACGACTACAAGCACTTGAGCGAGCCGAAGGTGTGCCGCCATGATCGCCCCTTCCTCAGTGGAGCCGGACAAACCTTGATGTAGTAGATAGCCGGAAATTCGTCGTGCTAAGGCCCATAGCACCAGCGCACCAGAACAACAACCACCACCGATGAAGAGAAATGTAGATCGGGAAGATCCAACCTATAGACGCACGAACATAGAAGAACAAAGACTGGGCCCCCATCCGATGATGCTTGTCGGGGTAATTGACCATGGGTACCCGAAGACGGCAAGACAATAATTCAAGACATCGGGGCTAGCAAAGCCCCTCAGTCCGACTGCCCGGCCACTCCTGCCGGCTCCCAGTCCGACTGCTCTACCCGGCCGGCTGCCGGCTGCTGACTGCGCCAACCAGCCGGCTGCCAACTGCAGCCCGACCCAACACCGACAAGACACCGACGAGACGGCCGTACCGCGACATCATCTACAGTGTACCGTGTCCCCTGCGCATTGATTTAGAAAGTGCCCAGGGGACAAGCATGACACCCACCATGCCTTGCCCATACCACTACATGACTTGGTTTGTAATCTATACAAGGTAGCTTACATCCAACGCCACCACCACCCATGCTAAGCTAGCCACACTATATATAGCTAGCTCTATCCATCCATCAGAGGATGGACTCACCCTCCCACACACTCACGCATGCATGCTCATGCACCTGCGGCCACACACACACTTGTGCTCATACGAGACATATACAAAGCCAGATGCATCATACGAGACATACAAAGCCAGATGTATATGGCACTGAGCTTAGATACAGCTCCAGGAGCAAATCTGTACCAGATATACCAGATATACTCAGACATGCAGGAGTAGGGGTATTATCTCTCCGGAGAGCCTCGAACCTGGGTAAACTACCGCGTGCTACTCGCGTACCCGCTTCCGGGCCTACAAGCAGCAGTCTTGTCCTCACACTAAGCCCTTGTGGTATTTGTCGACTCGCACCCCCATGAGAATACCAGGACAATGCTAGAAACACCGTCAGGATGGGGGTGAGGCGGGGAGAACCTGTACAAGCTTAACCGCAGATCCAGGAACACTAAGCTTATTGGTCATGGAGAAGTAGTAGAATTTCTGGTGAAGACATATATACCTGAAACCTCTAGACCCGTTGTTTCTCTTCTCTGCTCTTTTCCTCGGCATATTGCCGTGCTTAGCATATACATGGATATATATAGTGATGTGTATTGGCCGACCTAACTCGTCGATGTTGATCGATTCTGGCGGGTTCTTTTTGGCTAGCTGATAGATTCCTGGCTGGTGAACAACATGCACACGGTGGGCAAAAGGCTCGTGACGAATATGCCTGTAATTTGTAAGTATTTCTGGATGAATTTAGTGTTGTTGGATGGTCACTAAGTACAGTAATTATGAACTCCACTATTGTGCACATACAAATACCGCCCGCACCGGGGAGCCCCCGCCCTCCTCCTACATCCTCGCCCCTCCTCCGCCACCCTCCGCCGCCGCCGCCCGGGGCATGACAGGGCAAAGTCCTTCTGGTATGGCGGCGGCTGCGGCTTTTCCTCGGATCTCGATTTGGTTGGGAGGCGGCGCTCCTCTCCGGCCAGATCGGCGGCGGTGGCGCAGATCGGCGGTGACATGGAAGTGGTGTGGCGGCGGCGGGGGAGGATGGCACCAGCAATCGCGGATCTAGCCTTGACTCATGTCAGGCTAATTCGTTGTGCTACCGGCGTCGGCGGGGCACTCCTCGTGGACTTGATCTGCAACACGAGGATGTCTGGGGCGCCGGCCCTAGGCTTGATGGTGGTGGCCTTCTTCTTCATCGGAGTTGGTCGGCCGACTGGCTGTGCTCGTATGGTCATGTAGTGACCGGCGGCTTGGCCGGTCGGCGGCGGCGGAACTTGGCCGGTGGCAGCGGCAAAGTTCTGTCTAGATCCCGGGACGGCGGCCCTGGAGGGTGGCGGCCGGTGAAGCTCGGGCTTCCCGCGGTGGCATGGTGTGGTGCAGTCCCTGTCCAAGGCGAATCTATGACGGTGATCTGCTATGGATTGTTCCGGATCAGAGACGGTGATGAGCGCGCGGGATCCTTCTCGGCGGCTCTCGCGGCTTGGCAAGGTGTGGTGGGAGCCCTCCTCCTAGGCTCCAGTGGTGGCACACTCAGGCAGTGCCCGGTGCGCCAGGGATCCCACGGTGGCACTGTTGCTGCGGTTGGTCGCCGGATCTAGGCGGCTGGATCTGGGGCTTCGAAGGCGGTCCAAACGGTGCACATGTTGTTGGGTGAATTTCTTGGGACGGATCCGGGTGAAAACCTGATCTTCGGTCGATGGCCGGAGCCAGTGATGACGATGCCCTTATCATCGTTTCCTTCATGAAGGCATCATCGAGGTGAAGCTCCCAACTCCACTCTGTACCTCCGGGGGAAACCCTAGATCAACTGATCGGATGTTGGCGGCAGTCATGTGTCGTAACCCCCTTGGGGGCGACATTCTTGGAGGTGCACTCGGCTTCGCGGGACCAGTGGACGGCTTCTTTGATGGAGTGGTGCTTCATCCATACATTGATGACGACGGATCTGGACGGCGTGGCGCAGTGCAGATTCGGAGTTCGATGTGGGAGGATGGACTCGCGCAGGAGGACGACGCTGTCTGGCGTCGTGGTGGTGTCGATGGCAGAGAGACCTGACACAGTAGATGCAACAGTACAACTCTGAAGATGGACTCGTGGCAGGTGGCTGCGGCGGCCCCTTAGCTGGCAGGCGTCCTGGTTGAGGAGTGCGCCGGACTGGTAGGTGCCTCATACCAGGTAGGTGTCCTAGTTGGGATCTCAGGTCTTAGATGTTTAGGTTTGGCTGAGATGTATGTTTGGTATTAGGCCCAGACTATCAGCCCCCCTTCATCAATTGGATAGGTGTAGCGACAATTGTTGCTTAGATGGTGGCTTAAGTCTTACTGTTGTATGACTTTGTAAGGTCTTGTGAGAATAATTAATAAAGTGGCCGCATGCATCACCCAGATGCAGAGGCCGGGGGTCATCCTCCTTTTCTAAAAAACAAATACCATACTGTATATATCATCTTGTCAATTCTTTTGGAGGCCCATGTGATCATGGCGCTGCATTCTTTATGCTGAGCCTATAAGCTTTAGATTAGATACACAAGCAAATCCCAGGAAAGTGGCTTCAAATCAAAAGTGCAAATACAAGACAACCGTGCAGACTTGATTGTACCCCCCCCCCCCTCGACTCGGCCCTCGCGTCGTCCCCTTGGGCGACTCGGGGGCGACTAGGGTTCCGCCGCCGCCGCCACCCCCCTCCACCCCCTTCCTCCCCTTTGCCGCTACGAGAAACGGCCGCCGGGAAGCCCGCGCGGATGCTGGTGAAGGTGGCGGCGGGGATCTCGGCGCTCCTCCCCCTCTTGGAGGCCCGTGGTTCCTGGGGCGGCGGCCCTTGCCGGAGAGTCGAAGCCGTCGGGCGGTAGGCAGCGTTCGTAGGGGGTGCTGGCCAGCGTGGCTGGCTGTGTGGGCGGCGGGTGGCTTGTGGAATCCGGCCGCGGCGTGAAGCTTTCTTCGTCACATCTAGAGGTGCGAAATCCCTATTTCCTACTGCCTCGCTCTCGCCTCCGGTGTGGGCTAGCGTTCTGGCTCCGGCGTTGGTGCGTTTTGGTGGTCAGCTAGGGAACCGGGGGAAACCTTGGCCGGTCCGGCCGGTCCGGTGGCGGCAATGCCCAAGGGCGCTGCTTTCCTCCTTGGGGGCGCAGCCGAGGTCCCCTGCTCTCCACCCTGATCCCTCTGCCCGGGTGAAAACCTTTATCCTCGGTGGATTTGGCGGCGTTGGCGCCTTGCGCGTCGTGACCTTGCTGGAGGCGTCGTCAAGGGTGCGGGGCTCGGCCGGGAGGTTTTGCAGGTGAGGGATTAAGCTACCCCCTCTGCGTCGTCCGATTCCTTGAAGCTTGTCTCCAACTAGTTGGGCATGGACTGTGGCGGAGCAGCCGGCGTGATATATCCCATATCGATGTTGTCATCCTATGTCCACCTTGCAATGCGAGGGCGACATTCTTCCAGCTCTATGGTGAGCTTCTCAAAATCCCGACGGTGCGGCGCCTATGAGCCATGGCGAGGGGGAAGGGTCCCTCTTCGGTGATTGAGAGGGAAGATGTTGGTTCCTTTCTTCTCTAGGTGTTCCTAGAGCACGGTCCATCCTCGAAGGTCAGCTATGTCCTGCTGTGCTGCTCCGTTTGCTACATATGATCCTAGTGTGGAGTGCTCAACCTTTGCTAGCTGCAATTCATTGCGGCTTGTGGAGGTTGTAGTGAGTAGGCTTTTCAGTGTTCCCCATTGTAAGTTGGGTTGTCTGTTGTAATTCCTGGCCGGTTGATGGCTTTGTTAATTCAAAGCCAGGCTCTTCGCGAGCCTTCGTTCTAAAAAAAAGACAACTATGCCGGCCGGACGAACCTGAAAGTAGAAACCTAAAGAGGGCACGAGAAGAGGACAAATGCATTGTATAT